GGTAAATTATGTGATAAATAAATATTTCTTTTCACAATATTTTGTTTCCTTTGTGAAAAATCTTTACCTCCATATAAGGGCCTCAAAAAAAAATTTTTATACGGGGCCCCGACAAGGCACGCTACGCCACTGCTCCAACCCTTAAGTAAATTGATACATATGTATCTATACAAAATGGGTCGAAGGCCTTAGGAGCCAGTTCCCTTTGTTTCCTAGTCTGTCTCTAAATATATTTACAGGTCATATTTAAATAAATAATAAAAATACGCAACAATTTTACTAACAAGTTTGTAGAAATCCAGTGGTTGGCGTTGGTGTTATACGTTGGATTGAGAACACAATTACTTTAAACCTGTTTCAACGACTGTCGGCTCTATGTATCCGGCTGAAGACGGTTATTTCGACACCATGCCTCGAAATTACTTTAAGAATGTTTTCTGCCGCTACAAAAACAGCTTTCAACTATCAATCGTTAGTTGCCGTACCTATTTGGCCAACTAGATGCAGTGTGGGATTCGCGTCGTTGTTGTGCATCCCACACTGCAACAACAGATTTTACGGTTACTTATAAGGCTGTTGGAATCGAAGCAGGATGAGTTAGAAATTTTAAGTACAACTAGAAATAAAAATAAAATGTTAATGGACCAAAAATCTAAGCTCGTTGCACCACCGTTTATTCCAGTGATTACAAGTTGTGGGGAATATACATAAGTATTATCCTGAAAGCTTCTCGGACTTAACTGACACAGAGGAATGTCTGCTTCAATGACTAACAGTCTTATCTGCTGCAATAACTTGTTTAAATTGTATATAACATACAACTACACAATGAATTTGAGTTATCATTTTCACTTTCTGAAGAGAKTTTGTCATTTTTTATTTATTTATTATTATTATTTTTTTCAATAAATACATTTTTGTATGACTAATTTATCGAAATAATAAAAGATAATGAATATAATTAATTGTAATATATTATAAAAGGTTCAATGTATGTTTCGGGTTCAGTGCAATTTATATTCTTCAAACGGATTCGTTTCAAGATCTGCAAAAATTGGAATCGAAACCTTAACACATTATTACATTAGTGGACAACTTTCTGCTTTAGTATTAAAACAAAATAAAGCTGGCAACGAAATAGATCGGGCTTGTGAGAATGACCTTACGAAATCTGGAATGTTATAAGTTTCAAATGTTCCGGCCGAGGTCAGGTATTTTATAATAATCAAGTGTCCATTCTGTAGAGATTTAATTTTATACTCAGTCACACAGTGAATAATAAAAAAACAATTGTCAGACACGTGAT